CCCCCCTCCTTTAAGAGACTGAACTATTATTCCACATTGCAGATTTCTCCAGGGCTGTATTCAGTGTCCTCGTGCTGTACGAGTGCTTGTTTGCAATGAGTTCCTTTTACCTTCAGCTGGAGAAAACAGTTTTAAAAATATGCTCAAACCTTTTTCTGTTTTAATAGTGACTGCCAGTCAAGCCCAAAGGCTGAGTGACCACAACGTGCCCTGCACAGCCCCAGGAGAGCAGCAACAGACCCTGGGACAACACGTAGCAGGGAAGGTCGAGGGTGGGATGGAGCCCATCTCCGACCCCAGCAGCTCCTGCCCAGTGCCCACTGTTGGTGGCAGGGATGCTTGTTTGGAAAGGCAGACAGGGATGGAAGGAGTTTTTCAAGGATGACTCCTCCTTGGACTCTCCCGCTTGGGGCTCCGGTCTCTGCTCACAGTTTCCCTTTTCCTCCCTGGACCAAGCTCTGAGCTGGAAGCTCTCACTCTCATGGGCTGAGAGCATTCTCCTGCCAGCTGGAGGGGAGAAGCTCGAAGGTTATGGAATGGGAATATGGAAAGGATGCTGAGAAAACAGTTACATTCCCTCACCGGGGTTTTCTCCGTGCTTATGAAGAGTCTGTGCTCTCTGACTCCTGGTCTCACTACCTTTCCTCTTGCCTTGCAAGAGATCCTCCCCAAATCACTGTAAGGCCACCACTCTGACATGACATGCAGCCTTGAAAAGGACAGAATGTTGGGTCTGTGGAGGCATGGCAAAGCCCAGCCACTCTGATTGCTGTTCCTTCTGGACCTTTAAACCTGGGGCTCCCTATCCAAGAAGCATCACACACACTACTACACATTGACAAGAGATATCTTAAAAGCCTTAAGACTGAAATACTGTAAATACATTGAGTAACAAGAAAGGACTAATTTTAGCCCAAGCCTATAATTAAAGGATCCAAAATAGCTCACCCACAACACGGCAGGTCACCAAATCTACAGCTTGATGGGGAAACTAGAGAGAAGGTAGAATGTCAACCATCCTTTAGGTGGAGAGTGCAAAAGAAAGAGATTTGTGTGCTGTGAAGAGGCACTCTGCACGGACAGGTGAGTGGTGCAAACAGCAGGAAGCAAGAACTTGTGAAACAAAAACCACACCGAGCGTGCAAAGCTCAGAGGAGCTACGCAGGACCTGATTTCCAGGGCTGGCACAGCACAATACGGAATATTGCTCATAATTTCTCAGAGCCTCCCAGCTCAGGGCTTTAGATTGCCTGGAGAGATGAGGCAGGGCTCAGACGAGCTGAGTGGTGAGTATCTGAGACAGTCCACTGCACACATGAGCATGCACATGAGGGGAAAAAAAAAGTGCCTCGCTGTTTCAGAGGAGGGAACCACAGTGACTAGCCCTATAAGCATACGTATTAATCATGCACCGTCTGGTTTTAATCCACACACTGCTGATCCTGCGTCTCACTGTATTGTTATCAGGGGAAGGAGTATTTCTCCTCAATCTTATTCACCAGCCAAAAGCCTGAAAATGCAAAAAACACATTTGTGAAGTGCCTTCCCAAGGACCCTGGGCCCCGGACCTGGTGAGCTGGGGCTGCTGCCTTTTTATTGGCGTTTAAAAACCTTTTATTAACGTGTGTCAGGGCTGGGGGAGGAGGGAGAGGCTCGGATTTCAGGACCCCCCATGCAGGGAGGTTTATTGTGGGAAGGGACATTAACACTTTCTCCCCCATGTCTCCTTGCTTGGGGAATGGGGCAGAGCCGCCTTTGGGCAGGGCAGCTTTCAGAGGGGGATGCTGAGCACAGGAGGAACTTGCAGGGATGCAAACAATGAACGATGCCACCGAGGACCTCCCTACTGCACAGCCTTCCTGCAGCCCTGCCACCAGCACTACAGGGACACTACACAGCAGGATGCTCCCCAGACACCAGGATGAGAGCTGAGGAATCCAGGATGTGCCCCACATTCCCAGGAATGTACCCAGAGCAGACCCGCTCACAGCTCAGACACACCACTGCCTGGCAAAACCACAGCCATCACCTCCTCTCTTCCTGCAGCCCAGCTCAGCCACGCTGCTGCTCCATGCTCTCTCAGGGTATGATGCTGGGTGACTTTGAGGCCCTTTACCATGGGCTCCCATTACTGGCAGCGTTTCTTTCGGCTGTGAACGCTGCAGACGCAGTCTGACAGCCCAGGCACCAGGCTGCATAGTTTGCTGTTGACTGGTACATTCGGTGGTGTTCCATCACACAAGCTGCAATGGATATCTGCCCAACATACGCCCAGGAAAACATCACCAAGTTATGTTCACCCCGGAGACAGCTTTTGTTGGTTACAGCCTCAATGACAGTGCAGGAGACGACGGGAAGCTCTAAGTATCACACTGGCTCCAGCAGGAATCCTAACGCACAGCTTCATGGCAACGAACGGAGTCAGAACATTTTCACTCAAAATAAGAGCCAGGCCAAATGCTCAAAAACTTGCTGAGAAACTCTGGCTGAATTGTGCACTACATCTGCTAAATGGGTCACGGAAAACAAAAAGAAGTGGGAAGCACAGTGTTTTGTCCTTTACAGCTTACAAAACAGCCATCCTCTTGGTGGAGCCAATAACCTCACACCATTTTAAGCCCAATACTCTCCACTCTTGCTTTTGAACAGATTCCCTTCCCCTGAGTTTTCCCAAATTCATTGAGAAACTGCAGTGCGAAAGTATCAGTAAGCAAAGTGAGATTGGTGCAAAGAGGGAACAGCCTCTTCCTAGCCATGCAGGTGATAGGAGAGGTAGCACAGCACCTTCCCAGAGATGCTCAGGTACACCAGAATTCTCCTCCCAGCTCCCAGCACACTGACAGGGTGCAACACAAAGAGCAGAACATTGTCTGCCTCTCTGGCAAAGACCTGCTGTGAACATAGCTTGGAAACTGGGCCAAGCCTGAGAACACGAAAGCAACCAGGTGCAGAAAAATAACTCTTGCTAACCAGCAACATAAAATCAGCACTGAAAAGAGAGTTCTTGCTGCACAGAAATACCATTTCTCACCTGCTTGCAGCTTGGTCAATCAGGAACAGACAAATGCACACAAACAGGAAACATCCTGCAACACGACTGGACTGCTGCAGAGTGAGATTTGCCTGGGTTGTGCACACTGAAAGGACAGGGAGCAGTGGGAGACTGAGGACTGCACTCATGGATCCTCTTGTTAAGTTGAACCAGGGTCCTGAACTGCAGGAAAGTGCAACACGGCCGTCACAGTGCTGTCATTACACAACTGCTGCCACTCCAGTGCCTTTCTGCAGCATTACCAAATCACATCCAATGAGGTAGGAAGGTTCAGAGAGGTTACTTTGCTGTCAAGGCAGCTCACCTCCACCCAGGCTGTACGAGAAGAGCCACCCACCCTGCTTTTACAAGTCTCTTAATGCTGAAGAGATTCTACACCACCGCACAGGAGCCTACTTTCAAGTGCTTAACTACCCTAAGGAATGAAGCCTTTCCTCAAGCCTAATCTTCATCTATTTTGCTGCAATTTGTGCCCATTCCTTCCTGCGCTGTTCAGCACGGAGCTGGAGGACAGCTTGTTCTCCTCCTTCCCACAACAGCCTTTTCTCCAGCTGAAAGCCGCATTTTCCCTAAATTTTCTCTAGACTAAAATGCCCCAGTTCTTTCAGCTCCTTCCTGGAAGCGAGGTTGATGGGTTCTCTGCTCTACCTCACCTGTCCCCCTACCCGTATTCAAAGGGAATACACACATCTGCTGCTTCACATTGGATCAAGAAGAGCCCCTGCAGCACCCAATGCTTCTGCTCAGCATGGGTAGAAAGGAGCTGGGTGAAAGGAGCCCACCTGGGTGTGATGTGCCCAGTGCTGAGGCAGAGGGACCAGCAGGCAGCACAACACAAGGAGCACTCCACAGGGGCTCTGAGACTTGCACAAATTCCAGCCAACACCCCAACGTGCTGGGTGGGATCGCTGTTTTAATGTCAGTTACTTTCAAACCAAACAAAACCCACTGAGGAGGCAAAAAAAAAATAAAATACTAATGTGGTGGACAGGCCAGGACATCCAAGCCTGGCTCCTTCTCTCTGGGATGTGCAATCTTCTCAGTGGAACTGATTCAGCCCCATCACACCCTGCGTGGCTGGGTGCCTGCTGCTGCACTGGGATGGACACCAGCTCCCACCAGTGCTGTTGCACAGTTTCTTTATGGGGTGTTAGAATCGAAGGGACTCGAGATGGTGACAAATCTCAGCTCTGCAGCTCAGCTGCAGCAGGAGCACGGAGATGCTTCTCCTTTTTCACGCACGTGAGCGCAAGTGCTTGGCAGGGCAGGTAGATGGCACTCTGAATGAACTGCTGTGTGGTTACAGCAGTCAGACCCTGGGGAATAACAGCTCCCTCCCACACGTCACGGGGCACAGCCCAGACCCAGTGCCTGGAGGAAGGAGCCCATGCATAGGGAAAGGGGTAATGGGACTGTCCCCATGGTGCAGTTGTGCTACCTTAGGGCAGAGATGTGCTCGCTATTTGACCTCTGCAAACATAAGACTTGTAAATCCTTTTTGCCAGTGACTTCCTAAACTAAAATGTTTCCCCAAAACTGGAAGGCTTTCATTTTTAGTGGGGCTGCGGGCAGCACTGTGAGCACGGGCAGGGCAGACGGAGAAGTGAAAGAGAAATTCGCACCTCCTGGGTCCCCCCTGTGACAAAGGTCCTCAATTTCTCACGGTCATTTCAGGAAAATGTCAAGATGCGGCACATGGGAGCACGCACTGCCACTGTTACCAGCAAGCTCCCACCAGCCCTGCACCCCACTTCTCCTCCTACAGCACCGACTGCCCAGGGAAGCTGCACAGCAACACTGCTGCTGCTGCAGTTCTGCCTGCGAGCAGGAAACTGCTGAGAGCCACTCTCATCCTGCCGTGCCTCCGAGGGCGTGCAAAACAAATGCCACTGTGCCTCCTTCATCCCCCCCTCCCAGGTTCAGGCACGGTATCAGCCCCCAGGTCCCTCCTGGCCAGGTGGTGGCAGAGAGCAGACCCCAAACCCCACATCAACAAGGGAACTGATTTCATTATTCTAAAAACAAACAGCCGAAGGAAAGTTCAGGCTAGAATGGGCTCCTAGAGCAAAGAAAGGAAAATAGAGAGCGGGCAGTGGGGAATGCTTCATATTCCTAAAAGCCTTTTGTACGTTAACACATGGTGTCTGCTTCTCTCTAGTCACCTATTTATCACTCTCCTCTTTAGAGAAGGAAAAAAGTCCTGGCTGCTTTCCTAAGGCAGAGTTTTGTGGCTGGGGGGAGGGGGAGGGTGCTTTAAGCATGATGCAAACCATTTGGAGTGCACTGAGAGCACTGCCAACACAAGCTGCACTATTTAAACAAGTGAGGAAATGATCGTATATACAACATGCCAGCGAGCACACACACACCAGAGGAAGTCGAGAGGGGTTTTCATGACACAGAGCTGGATGTCAGCGGCTGAAAGGTCGATATTTTCCCTTAACACCCTTCTCAATGACTTAATCGTGTTCCGTTTGCACAGAAAACTTCCCAAGAATAAAAGTCTGGAGGAATCGAGGGGGGATGTTTGGCCTACTGCTGACCTTGTCCGAGGTCCTCTCCACGTAGCAGGGCTCCTGGGGGGCGACCAGCAGGGGAACGAAGCCCGAGAGCAGCCGATCCTCTTCCAGGCTAAGCAGGGCAAGGTCGTCATCTGGGTCCTTGTACAAGGGCACCTCCGACTGATTCACTGCGGTCAGTATGTTACAGAAGTCAGCCAGCGTCGCCCACACATCTACTGAGACCCTGGGAGAACGAGGAGAGACGTGAGCAATTCGGGGCTGGAATGCATTGGGAGTTGCCTTGCGACGCTGCGGCGAATACCAGAGAGGTGAGACGAGGCAACGCACACCGCCCCGCACCGCGCTGCCGCAGCCGTGCCCCACGGGGAGGGCTCTGCACACAGCTGCACTGGCACCGACCCCAGGAGGGCTCTCAGCCCTCGAACCGACCCTTCCTGCCCCCTGCATGGGAACAGCTCGGCCCTTCCCGCTGCTCTGCCCCACGCTGCATGCGGGAAGCGGTTCCCCAGCAGCCCCAGGGAGCCCAGCCCGTTCCAGCTGGGAGAAATGCCTCTCGCTGCTCTATTTCCAAGCCTGCTGGGAAGACAAACTCATCTTGCTGTGGGGGCAAAGGCAGCACTGGGGGCTGGTATTTGCTGCCAGCACGGGCTGCAGCCACGCGCTAAAGCTGAGAAAGTTTGCAGCTCAACCTCAGCCTCGTGGCGTTAACTCGTGCTTTGCTTTTGGCCATGGTTTCAACGCCTGAGAGCGACCTGCAGAGCTGCCCCTGCACTGTCTCACCTTCCTTGGTGGCACTGAGGCCACGGGCAGCCCACTGGAGTGCATCTCCATCACACATCCCCCATGGCCTGGGCCATGCCAACTGCACTGCCATACAGCACTGCTCGCCCCAGTTCTAGAAGCGCTTCTGGAGGGTTCTTTCAGCCTATGAGCTGGGAAGAACAGAGGAAGGTGGGGCAGCACCGAGAAGCACAGAGCAGCCAGCATCACCCAGGGTGCAGCAGTGACCAAGGGCTGGAGGGAGGCCCCCCTGCTCTTTGAACTGCTCCAGGTGGACAGAGTCTGCACTCGGTTATTTACGGGAATCAATGTACCAGGAAAGCGCACTGAAATGAAACATCTTGTTTTCAAGAGCGTCCTGGGAGCCAGGCAGAATGAGCAGCCATTAATCAAAGCCCGGCACGTAATCAGCACACATGTAACGCAGAGTCGCCCACGTCCCCGAGCCAGCCCCAGCCAGCACGCTGCAGAGGAGAAGAGGTCCTTCAAAGCCCTCTGTGCACAGACACCAGGAGCTGGGTTCATTCACAAAGCTCCATCGCTTGGCTCGGCCAGGTCTGGCTGTCAGAAATGTTTAAATATGGAAAAAAATAAACAGTTGCAACACGTTTTTTCGGAGGGATCTGTCCGAGGCCCTTTGTGATGTAATGGGAAACGTTGCGTTTGTGCTACCAGCTGGAAAATAAACAGAGCTGCGAGGGTTAAAAGGAACTGAACTTTCCACGACCCCTATCTGCAAAAGAAGAAAATAATAAGAGGAATGATCCACTGCCCCACAGCCCTGATAGTTTATCCTCCGGCCCGGGCTGCAGAGACAAGCACCGGATGTGATAGGGCTGCTCTGGGCCACCTCCAAGGCAAGCTCTGCCCATGGGAGATGCGCAGGGCTTGGGAGGCTCAGCCCTCCCCCAGTGCCCTGCTGGCAGCCAGGCTGGGCTGCATGCACCCAGTCACATCGCAGGGCTGGGGCACAGAGCAGGGGCTGCAGCAATGCACGAGCTGCAGTGATGCGCAGGCTGCTCCCAGGTGCATGGGGCAAGGATAGAGAAGAAAGGAATGCATTGCACCGGGGCCATCTCCCTCCTCAAGGCTCACTGCTTGTCCTGTGAGCTGACACCGTCAGCATCCTGCAGTCCCCCAGCCTATACAAGCATTCCCAGTCACTTTATCCCCTTCATCTTCAGCTCCCTACAGCTTCACGGGGCCTGGCCACATCTGTCATTTGTGCTGGATGTGTTAGGTTTCCACCCTGGGTTTTCTTCAATGCAACCACAGTTGTGCTGCGGCGGGCAGCGAGCTCCCGCTACAACACAACTCCGAGCAGCCCTACAGCAGCCAGCACACACCACATTTCTGCACCTCTGACCATTTGCTGCCTCTCCTTTTGCTCCGCTTCCCCCTCCGCAGGGCAGCACCACCCCCTGAGGAGGGGTCCCAGCGCTTCCCCAGCTCTCGTTGGCCAAAGCCCTCTCTCTCTGCTGCCCCTTCCCAACACGCTGAGGCCACGGCTGAATGCTTTCTGACTCCGAGCCCAGCCCTGCAGATCCCAGAGCTTTTAAGCAAGGAAGCGAGGAGGGGGTGAGCGCGAGGTCTTCCATCAGAACGGGGGGTTCATTCACTTCCCCACAGACGCATTTCCATTTGCTTATTCCACCAGG